TGCGCAATCCAACGAGACCGTACAGCTCCTTCATTCTCGGCGCTGAGAGTGCTTTGGTCAGCAAGTCAGCCTTTATCAGACGAGATTTCAAGTTTTAGGCTTGACTATTCCCTTAATAAAGTAATCCCAAATGAATTTAACCCGTTTGCCCACTTATTTTGCGTTTGCCATGCTGCCCTCAGATTCTAATTGTAAAATTGCGGATTGATCATTCATCTTTATGCGCATTGGTTTTGTCACCATACAACCAGCTTCGCGCACCAGCTATCTTAACCCGAGAAGCTTACAAAATAGAAGCGAGGCAGACTTAAATACTGTGTCCACAGTCGACAGAGACACACCTGTCTGTTTCTTGCAAAACAAATGTACGATTGGACCATCCATAGAAATAAAACCGCCGCTCACTGATTTCCTATCATGTTTATCGGCAGCGAAGTCAGATTCATTATAGCACCTAAATACGAGAGTGTTGTTGAAGTTTTTGGGCAAATCCATGTGCAGCTTAAGTTTCTTAGGTTGCTTAAGGTATCGAGCAATTCGTTTGGCAAGCTTCTAGTCGCTCACGGTGGGCTAGTGTGTACGCCGCGTAGCTCTATGTACCGCAAAATTGATGTCCAGTCTGGTGCAGCGGGCATTTAGAGCAGGCTTCCCATTAGCGACTGGAATTCAGTATTTTTAATCCCTTGCCATCCTTTGCATGCTCGAAAAGTCTCACATTGTCGCAATCCGCATCGTAGTTCTCGTCACAAATTGGTCTATGTATTGCGTTAGCTTTAGCGAGACCAAGTTTTTTTTGTAAGATCCTCATACGCTTCTTGTTGATACAATGTGTACTCCTCAACGTTGTCTAGATCAGTGTGTAATGAAGCGAGCATTCGGAAACGATGGACTTAAAGGTCGATGAGACGGACGTATATGGGACCTTGCGGCCGAGAAAGGGACCGGAGACTTGGGGTCACAGGTAAGGAGCAACCCTCGGGTCCAACTGTGACGATCGATCAAGGTTATTGCTAACGGGGTCAAACCTACCGACGGTACCAATTGAACAGTACCGATATGGATTGTTCTCGAGCACCCTTCGGTCGGCCTGGTTGCCCAAGGAAAACCTCGGTTCCTCTTAGGCCAACCTGGCCACCCATCGGTCAGCCTGGACGTCCAAAGTGGGCCTTTGTAACGGGGTGAACCGTGACATAACAATTTATGAGAAAGTGTTAATAGAATTTAACTATAAGAGTTATATTCTCAGAATATTGTCATAAGGACAAATATTCTGCAGCACTTACGAGTAGTGCCTAATTGGTTGATGTAGCGCATTATATCAACCAACGAAGACGCGCCACGACGGACGCACGCAATGAGTGGTGAGCAGATAGTTGATATACACATTTGCATTCAGACATAGTTAGATGAGGATAAACAGTGATTTATTGCAGACATTAACTATGATAAATACAGTTCTACTTTTTAATTTAACCAGTACTCGCTTCTCCTTACCGTCTTCCTCTGCACGTACCAGTGTACGTGAAGTTACGCGGCACCGCCTTATTCTGTCATCAGAATAAGTAGCTTGTACTGTCATCAACACAAGCTTCAGGGTGCCCCGTTACACCTGGTAGCACTTCGTAGTCCGTCCAAGGACCACGTTCACATCTAACGTGAATATGTTAGATGATGATGATGATGATGACTAAAGCTTTCACGCTACGCGTGACAGCTACTCTCATTTGAGCGATGTAGAAAGGGATGCGGTTGAACGGATGGGTTCAACCATGGGCATCCATGCTGTTAGCGTCATGCTAGAGGCTCTCAATAGAGATTCCCACCTGTCTACTATCGCCAAGTTCATTCAAAATGAACTTGACGCTGAACGCAAGAAAGTAGCCTTGCTTCACCAACAAGGTTCTCAACAAGCAGAGTTGTTGAGAGAACAGGGTGCTTAACAGTTTGAACTGTTGAGACAGCAGTAGGCTGCTGCTGGTGGGTCGATGCACTCGCGTCGACCCGAGACCTTGAAGATTGACATCTCCAAGTATAGGGGGGTCGAAGAGGACTCCCTCTTGAGATGGTTCTTCGAATTGGATGGCGCCATAAGGGCGCGTCACATCGACGACGGGGATACGCAAGTTGCATGTGCCCAATTAAATTTGGCAGGACGTGCCAAGGCTTGGGCTCTGGGGCTCAGGTTGCACGACCCATATGCGTTTGGGTCGTTAGAAGTCTTCAAGTCGCGGCTCAGACAAACGTTTGAACCGCCTAGAGCTGAGTTCAGAGCTCGAACCGAACTCTTGAAGCTCAAGCAGGGTAAGCGTGATGTGCACGCTTACGCGCAACATATACGACATCTTACGAGTTGTATAAGTTCCAATCCGGTGGATGAACACACGTTGGTTTCGGTGTTCATGCAGGTTCTTGCGGATGGTCCCGTCAAGACTCACCTGTTCCGGCTTGAACTAGATTCACTAGAACAAGCTATTTCCATTGCGGAACAGAAAGATTTCAGTCTGAGACAGGCTCGCGCCAGCTCGACATCATATCGTGCACCGAGACGATATGACAGCGGAAGTCCAGAGCCGATGGAACTCTGTTATGTAGAGAGCGAGAAGGCTCGCTCTACAGAATACAAGAAGTTGCAGAAATGCAACAGATGTCAAAAGACAGGACACTACGCTTACGAGTGTAGTGCCCCTCGTCCAGTGTCTCGCAACACTGGGCGTAGTGACCGTTCATCCGTGAGAAAGGGGCAGGGCGCGGGTCCGCTGTTGGTGCAAAGACGCAACAACGGGATGGATTGTCAAAAAACGGACAGGATCAGTAAGTGCAGAGCACCCTACTGGTACAGCAACGTCAAGAGAATTTGTAGGCCTCTTGATGAAGGTTGCTCCCAGCACACAAACGTTGTGCGTTGCTGCTCTAGGTAATGAGATCTCACTCATTACCTTGAAACTAGAAGTGACAAATAAGTTGTCCCTTCGAGCTCTAGTCGATTGCGGGGCGTCCAACAATTTTGTGCGACGCCAATCGCTAGAAGATGGTCACTTTAAGTTTAGTGAATGTGACGCACCTCCTACGAGGATGACGGTATGTCTTGCGACAGGCGCATCCGTAACCGTCATGAAGCGTATAGTGAAGATTCACTATACGCTAGAAGATACCCAATATGACGATGACTTTATCGTATTGGATTTGGATGAAAAATTTGATGTCATCCTTGGAATAACGTGGCTCAGAAGGTACGAACCACGGGTAAACTGGCAACATCGAACAGTAACGATGCCTGCCGCTTGTTCATCAGATGGCCATCTGATGAACGTTTTGGAGCGTCCACAAGCGTGTGGATGTACTACGAGTGAGTGCGATGGCCTCACTTGTGGTACGGAGCCGCCGGAACTTTGCTCCGAAGTGTAACCGTTTGGTACACAAAGGTACGACTGCACAAAACCTTTGTGTACCAAACGGTTACACTTCGGAGCAAAGTTCCGGCGGCTGTGAGGAAACACAGGCTACGCCGAAGGTCCACCATCTAAATAAGTCGAGTGGACCGGGACAAAGATGTATTCCTAGCGGGGAATATCTAGAAGATAAACAATCCATCGCTCAGGTAAAGCGAAACGATAATTCTAGATCGACTGGAGAGTCTTTCGTAGAGGAAGTTAAGGGAATAAGTCTTGATTTTACAAATACGGCGGAAATAAGTTCTCCGAAACCTGAGGGAATAAGTCCCCGGGAAGCCGAAGGAATAAGTCCTTCGAGGCCTGAGGGAATAAGTCCCCAGGAAATGACAGAGACATTGAATGTCCTAGTCAATGACGGATCAAGTGCAGGCGCTTTTGCACTTGATCTGATTGCGCCTCCGAAGTTGACTTCGGAGATCACTCAGTTGCCAACGCTCGAACATAAAAGGTTCTTGCGTGATCTGCGTAGTGGCAAAGTCAAGCAGATCTGCGTACTCGTCGCTGACGACGAGTGTGTAGCCGACATAAGGTCAGCAACAATGTTTACTGAGAACGAGAGAGTTCTCAGTAGTTCATCGATGGACTAGAGTGTCCTCGATGAAAAGACACGAGTTGAGCGATATGGCTCCCAATCGTGGGAATCGCCCAAGACAAATCCTCTCTATGAAGATTTGGTTGAATTCAAGGATGTATTCCCTGAAACTGTTCCGTGCGAGTTACTCAAGGATAAAGGCACTCAACACGAGGTCGAGCTTAAACCAGGCTCGAAGTACTGTGTCATGAAGCAGTGGCCACTGCCTCGTGAACAAGTACTTGCGATCGACAAGTTCTTTGCCGATCGTTTAGCTGCGGGCCATGTGAGGGAATCAACTTCCCCACATAGCTCTCCGACATTATATGTAACGGGGTTGCACGAAATTATGGTACGTTGTACCAGAGGTGTTACACACCTGAGGTTACCTTTTTGTGAAGGTGGTATAGAATATCTTATTGGTTTGTAGGGGCTGACGAGTGTCAGACATTAGGTACGAAAGATCTTTGAGTAGGATTAAGATATTCTATAGGCTTTAACAAAAATAAAATCAGTTCCCATTTTGATCGGAAGGACACGTGGCTTGCGAGCCGTCTTGATCGTTGATCACTGATCACTAAGAGCTAGCGACACCTCCTCGAGGTAGCTACTCTTGAGCACTAAGTGCTGTCGATTCACTGAATCGTTAGGCCCCCCCTGGAACAGGGATATGAAGCTGTAAAGCTTGTTGACTCGTAAAGTCATTAGTTCTTTGGAACTAAGTTGCTCGTAGAGCGTTAAGTCTTCCTCTGAATTAAGGAGCTGTGTAGCTCCGCTACATTATATGTGCGAAAAGCCACATGATGGTGGCGGATTGTGCATGCATTTAACAAGTTGAATGCCGTAACGGTACCGGCTCAGACGCCGATACCAAGGAAGGACGTAATCATTGATGGTATATCAAAGAGTACCATCTTTTCGTCCACGGATTTGATGGATGGCTTCTATCAAATCCTTATGCGAGAACGGGATATACCCTATACCGCAGTGAGCACGCCTAGCGGCATGTCTGGGAATAGAAAAGCCGACCCCCGGGGGCGAGGGGTAGACCACTGGAAATGGGAACGGGGGGAACCTGGAACGAAACCCGGGGGGGGTTGAATAAAGGGGGGCGGAGATAGGCTAATAAAGAAGAAGAAGAACCACCAATGGGGGGGGGGGGGCGGCGGGGGGCTCCAAGCCGAAAAAACCCCATTTTGTTTGGGGGGGGGGGGGGGGGGGGGGGGAAAAAAAAAAAAGAAAAGGCAGTTCGCCCCCCCCGGGGGAGAGGGGGGCGCGGGGGCAAAAACCCCCTCTGGGAATGACTAGTAATGCCTCAAGGGCTAAATAATGCCCCTGCCACGTTCAACAGATGTGTATCACATCCGTTGAGACCAGTGCGAGAATTCGCGCCGAGTTATTTCGATGACGTATTCATCCATAGTCGAGCTATGAATGGAAAGTCGGACGTTGAGGTTCGAAGATACCACGTTCGACAGGTTCTTACAAATCATGCGAAAGCATCAACTGTATGCAAATCTCAAGAAGTGTATATTTGCAGCAAGCGAAATACCAACTCTTGGGTGCATCGTTGGTAAGAACGGTGTACGTCCTGATCTCAAAAAGAACAAGGCGATCACCGACTAGCCTGTGCCAGTGGATGTCAAAGGTCTTCTAAAATTCCTTGGACTAGCGGTGCATTTGGACAAGTATTCACGCAATTACGCCGGGATGACTGTACACCTCTCTCGTTTGCTGAAAAAGAACGAGAGGTGGTTATGGAACGCTGAATGTCAGCGCTCCTTTGATGGTATCAAGCAGAGCTTGATACAATCCTCAGTCCTAGCAATTGCCGATCAGGACAGGCCATTTCATGTGGTCTGTGATGCCAGCGATTTCGCAATCGGCTGTGCACTAATGCAGTACGATCTTGAACGCGTAGTCTGCTATCAGTCGCGTCAGCTGCAACCAGCTGAGCGGAACTATCCAGTGCATGACAAGGAACTACTTGCCATAAAGTATGCACTCGCGGAGTTCAGAGTCTATCTATTAGGAGATAGACCCTTCATTGTTTACACTGACCATGCGTCATTACGCACGGCAGTGAACAGCCCGCACCTTTCACAACGAATGGCGCGGTGGTTGTCATTCTGTGCAGAATACAACTTTACGGTCGAGTACGAACCAGGACGACTTATTGTCGTTGCTGATGCACTCTCACGTCGTCCCAGCTTTGAACCAGTCGCGAAACCCAACAGTGAGACAGTCACTGTTGCGGTTATGACTTTCTCAGTCCCATCTACAACGTTGTATGATGATGTGAGGCGGGCGTATGCCCAAGAAGGCGAGATTGTGAAGTTGTTTACACATCTCTCACAACCACCTCGAGAAACGTTGACACGATTATCGTCTGCGTATCGATCTGCATCAGATCGATACACTACTCGCAACGAGTTACTGTGTTATACAGCCGTTACTGGTGACACACCACGTGTTGTCATCCCAGATGATACTGATCTGCGCTTGCGGATCATGTTCAAGTATCACGATGCTCCTATAGGAGGACATCGTGGCCGAGAGAAACATATCTCACGGTGAGTCGAGACTTCTACTGGCCCCGCCAGTATTAGTTTGTACGAAAGTATGTTCGCGCATGCGAACTCCGTCAACGAGTGAAGTCAAGTCCTTCACTGCGTGCACCTTTACAGCCTCTACCGGTTCCGGCTGAGTGCTGGGAATCCATCTCAATGGATTTCGTCTTCGGGTTACCCAAAGACGCACGCGGGAATACGGGTATTCTCGTATTTGTTGACAGATTCAGCAAAATGGTACACCTTGTGGCTGTACCAGAATCAATCACAGCAAGTGGCTGTGCTTGTGTCTTTATCTACACCATCTTCCGACTTCATGGGTTGCCTTGTAAACCCGTATCAGACAGAGGTCCACGCTTCACAGCTGATTTCTGGCGCTCCGTGTTCAAATCACTCGTAGCGCGCTTGAAGATGTCGACATCTGATCATCCAGAGTCAGATGGTCAGACGGAACGCGCCAATCGTGTCCTCGAAGAGATACTTCGAGAATACGTACACTCCTTTAAGAGTTGGAGTGAGTTCTTGCCCACGGTAGAGTTTGCCATCAACAACTTGGTGCATGCGTCCACGACACATACACCGTTTTACGTGAATGGCTTGCGCCATCCGCGTGTACCCACCTTACTAGAGTGTAACTCTGGTTTAAGGGGGGGAGGGACTCGCGCGAGCAAAAACCGATTTGGTTCACGCTCATCACGCTCTGACGATGAGGTCATTGCGTTTGATGTCGATATCGACAACATTGATATCGAAGAAGATGATTCCAGTGAGAGCGAGGAAGCCCTCACTGAAGAAAAGGTGATGTCGCTGCAGTGCACTCACAGCGCACTGAAGCTAACGAGTCAGCAGATGAGTTCATACTGGCTCGTGAAAGGGTAGTCCGTTTTGTGCAGGACTCCATCGCCGAAGCGGTGGATAAGCAAAAGCAAAACGCTGATAAGAATGGAAGGGCAAACACTCTTTTATTTAATAAAGGTGACTTAGTCCCACTGTCTACGGTTAATCTACCAAAGCCTGTAGTGACTAACTTAAGTTGTAGTAAACTACTACCCAAGTTAATCGGTCTATTTCGTGTATTGCATCGCCTAGGCAACGCATACACGATCGAACTGCCACGTAAGATGGGAACGCATCCCACGTTTTACGTTGGTCGGCTTAAGCCGTACCATAAGTACGCTGTTTCTTCTGATGAAGAACGCCCTTGCGCTCAAGTATCTCACAGAGAGCCTTGTGCTTCCGATGATGGATATCAACAAGGGTCTGAAAAGCAGTTATCTCAGCCCGAGATCGGTCGATATCTACACGAGCTACCCTTAGCTCGTCACGCAGAGATGCCAACGCTCTCTCGTTCTCAAGCTGAGCAAAGGCAAACTCAGCTCGATGCTTCAAGACAGTTTCCGCCAGTTGGAGACGCCTGTCCCGCTCATGCTCGAGGTCGCCGCGCAACGCAATAGTTACGCGATCAAAAAGGCTCTCGAAAACACACGCTCCCTCACGATAGTTTGGAGAGCGTCTTTTCTCCTCCTCCTCCTCCACCTCCTTTAGAGGACTCTCGCGGTGGCCAGCGCTATCTGATTGAGCGGCTGTTCAACCACAGCGATGTGAATGGACGTCGGACGAGTTACCTCGTCCGGCGGCGCGGTTATCCCCCGTCCTGGGATACTTGGGAGCTCCGCTCCCAACTGATGATTGACGTACTGGGTCTGGTTGAGCAGTACGACGCGGCACATCCTGTGCCGCAGAAGGACAGCCGGAGAAAGTCTTCCCGGCACGGTCGTAAAGGGATTTCAGGTTGTCAATCTCTTCGTGCATCTCAGTAGAGATACGTACGCGCCACCACGGGCTGGTAAGGAGGTAAGCCTCCTTAGGTGCGCGCGCTGAGTTGTTTACACAACAAGGGCACGGGTCTCCCCAGGAAAGACAGGGTAATCCACCCTTCTTTGACAGACGATGCAGTTTATAGCGTGCACCTGTCAGGGTTCTTTTCTCAAACTTATCATGAGCTTTGATAAGTTTGTCGTTCCAAACGTCACGACCTATATCCTCAAGGTTATGGATGTAAGCGTTTCACGCTTGAAGCAGTGAGGGACCATCACGCTTGTGATTCCCACTGTACCATCGATGTCTAAAGAAAGCATTGATGAAGAATTCATTTTCAGCGCGATAGTTTTTCGCGCTGGGGTCAAGGTGATGGATCCTTGACGAATCGAACAATCGTGTTCGATAGCGATCACTTGTCGTCGCCGACAAGCGATCCATGACTGACTTTGGAGGCAGCCATGCCTTCTTTTCGGGAGCGAGACGCAACACGCTGCGGTCCCGCTCTTCCTGCGACGTGCCGAAAGAAGTACTGGCACCTCGTCGCGAAGTGGTGTCAATTGGAGAATTGACTTCGCTGTGAGCGCCCGAGTCTTGCGATCTCGAGCGCCTTCGCTTAGGCGATGGTTCATCTGATTCGTCAGATGAACCAAAGATGCTACGACGCGTAGCATCATTCATGCCACGCTTGGCAGACCGCTTGGTTTCAACCGCCTTCGATACAGATCCGTCTTCTGTATCAGGAGAGTATGAGACACCGAGCTCATACTCTGTGAAGACATGAGTGTCTTCATAACGAGCGTCTGCATCACCAGGTGATAATGACTGAGACACTTTAGCAACCGATGACACATCAGTTGGAGCGGTTTCTGCTTCGGCGACTGCTCAGAGACGTGCAGACACGCTCTCAGCGACCTTGTTCGTGCACCGCATGGACTTGTTAACCATGCGATGAAACTGATGGACTGTGGAGTCGGACCAACAAGTGCAAACCCCGTCCCAAATGATTTGGGACGAGTATCCATTTAGTCAATCAGTCACTAAAGTGACTGATCGTTAAGGGGGGGTGATGTAACAAGGTGAATCGTTACATAACAATTTATGAGAAAGTGTTAATAGAATATAAATATAAGAGTTATATTCTCAGAATATTGTCATAAGAACAAATATTCTGCAGCACTTACGAGTAGTTCCTAATTGGTTGATATAGGCCATCATATCAACCAACGAAGACGCGCCACGACGGACGCACGCAATGAGTGGTGAGCAGATAGTTGATATACACATTTGTATTCAGACATAGTTAGATGAAGATAAATAGTGATTTATTGCAGACATTAACTATGATAAATACAGCTCTACTTTTTAATTTGACCAGTACTCGCTTCTCCTTACCGTCTTCCTCTGCACGTACCAGTGTACGTGAAGCTACGCGGCACCGCCTTATTCTGTCATCAGAAAAAGTAGCTTGTACTGTCATCAATACAAGCTTCAATGTGCCCCGTTACAGCCTTGGTCACCTTTAGGCCTACCTGGCCACCCATCGGCCGACCTGGTCACCCATAGGTCGACTTGGACCTTCAGGGTCTGGTGGATCCTGGAAACTCGTCATATAAAACCCAGGTGCAAGGCGAAGATAGATTATAGGAGCCTCAAAGATAGGACCATATTAAATACTACTCAATTTGCGATCCAAGCAGCACGACGTGTGTGAAAAAATACATACGACGCGTGCGAAAATAAACTTGTAAGTCTACCGGCATGTTTCGGGACAAGGATCTGTTTGGCCCACCCGTCGAATGAACAGTTGTCAGTAAGACCCAAGTGTAAGTAGAACCTTAGGAAGTATATTGGCCTGTGGGTTCGTCTGAGTAGCACCCCTCCCCCCCCCCAACTCAAGCCCGTTATAGGAAGCGTTCTCCATACCATAAAGATGAGGGAGAAGAAACGTAAAGGCCAGGAAGTTATCACCCCTGGGACAAGTAAAGGCCAGGCGCTACCAGCACCTGAGCCAACTGGTTATAAGTCCACCTTCGACCAAGTCGATCGAGTGGATGCATAAATTAGACCCCGACTGAAGCATATCCGCTCGGCCCGCCCCTCAGGTCAACCTCCATCAAGAACGACGTCTACAATGATCACCAAGTCCTCCAAAGAGTGCAACCCGCCAGCCGACGGGTACACGAGGTGAGAGAAGGTCTATACGCGGCATCGGGGTACCCCATCCGACAGTCGGCAGTCCGGCAGAGTAAGTGGTTTGGGGTCTCGTCAAACAGTTTCTACAACCCACTCCACCACAATGGCACGCGTACCTGGATTGTAAAAGACGCAGTACTTCGCCTTCAGTTGTTAAATGAACAAGACGTTTAGGTCAAGATAGAACTAGAGACCGGAGAACTAATGGTAGACTGACCGCCAGAGACACAAGACGACAAAAATAAAGAATTTAAGGACCGACCGGACCTGAAGTGGGGTCCGGTCAAAACGGGAAAGGTAGAATAAATACAGAAAAAACTTAAAGACTACTACTACGTCCTATTTGAGGAAATCTTGGGTCATGATACCTATCATGCTCTAGAGGACCGAGAAACGACGGTAAAAGCGAAAAGCTGTGGATTACAATACAACAGAACCTGCGGTCGCTGCGTTTAAGACGAAGAAGGCAAGAGTGAAAGTGTTAGGGGTCACCAACTCGATGGGTACCGACGCCTCAGGACCACCGACCGAGTTGGACTATCGGCCGACGACGAAACGCGGAAATCTATGGTCCCCGGCACCAAAGAACCCCAAGATCGCTAAGCTCAAGCTAAAGCACACGAAGACGGAGAAGCCAGCGGACACCAAGTCGGTGGGTCCTACCTAAGGAGGGCCGCCAGCCTGGTCGGACGATGCTATGGCGATCGTCTACCACCGAAGCAAGCTGGAAACACTCTTGGCAAGCGAACCCTTCGCGGAAACCTTGAAATCCAGCGGCTTGGAAGCCAAAAGGGGCCGGTGTTAACCCTACCGCAACCTCGGACGGTCACCGAGGCGGTCACTGCGCTGGTAACCCTCCTCCGTGAAGCAAACATGGATGCAGGAAGATTCGAGCCGGATACTTCGATTGACTAGGGGTTCAACAGCATCACAAGCTTTTGGGAGAATATTCACGAGCGTTTGGAGAATTTGGTTGGGACCACCCTTAGGCTCAAGAAGTTATTACCAGCGCAATCTATGACGGCAATGTCTCGCGACAGCCAGGTGACGCTCTAAGATTTCGAATCCAAACCATAAGCGCGTCCACAGCTCGACAACCCGAGGGTGACGCGCCTTCTTCCATTAAATACTTCCCCGCCAGGTATCTATTACCCGGATGAGTTGTCGCCACACAGTTCGAATGCTCTAGACCAGTGCGACAGTGTGAATCTGGGAACGGCAGGATCAGCGATACTCTAGGCTTATGCAAGGGGCGACGAGAATTATTAGTATGTTTACGAAATGGTGACTTGTGTCCTCTTAAAGCACATCCAAGCGCCTGATAAGGTGTTTTCACCCAATGGGAATGCAGCACGGTTAAAACAGAAACTCTACACCACCACGTGACGATGATGCTGGCGGCACGCGCCTACCAACACGGTCGATAACTAGCAGACACACTTCGACGCCACGATGGCAAAATTACAAAAAGAGCGCCAGGTGCTACAAGGATACCGAGATGGAAGAAGGACCACATGGGCACAAAGAGTGCAGGTAAAAGCGGCTTATTAAGCACCGAGGATCCGAGCGCAAGTTTTGAGACGACAAACCTCAACTGACGTAAAGATGGAATCAGTCGGTACGTGCGAGTACGACCCGGACGACGTGGACTTAAAGGGACCGCATGCGTGGACGGCAACAGCTACAGTAGAAAAATTGCCCGACGTAATTACTCGCATTAATCTTGCAGCTACATCGGACCTCAAGAATTTCCATGAAAGAGAATAAGAGAAGGACTGAGCATGCAGTCGGGTGACCATGGTGAAAGCCGCTTACGAGGAATCAAGCGCTCGACGATGAAAAGTGTCTTGTCTTCGGTTGATTGCTAACTGGACCAGCTTAGAAATGGCATCGGCAACTGGGTCACTCGGTTATTTCTAGCTAATATGACCTCCTACAAGAGTTCCGGATGCAATTTTGCGGTTTGGGAGTGCCAGTTGCTCGCCAATACTACCATGCGAAAAAGATTTCAGATGAGTCACCGTTGGACTACCTGTACCGACTCAACATGATTGGACTCAGCGCGGATATCAATATCAAGGAAGGGCCGCCCAAAATACAAAAGGAACGTTTTGAGCACTATGTCGAGACTTTGAACGACTTGGAACTGGCAGTACAGCTCAAGATATTACGTCCAGCGTTTTTGAACGAAGTAAAAGACGTGCTGATTGCCAAGAAAGGGACGAAGGCACGGCGAGAAACAAAGTATTTTTTAAATGAGCATTTTTTGCCTACAAGCACCCGTTTCCACCCACCCCCTGACCGACTAAGATAAACCGGCGGTCTGTACATGCAGTTCGGGCGACCTTAGAGGAGTCTAGTTATATAAAATTGAGCTCGGACGACTCAGGTGACGAAGGCTACTTATGGAAAATTCAATTGATGGCGATGAAAGGACAGAGAGACTCAGGTGTGATGACCCCAAGAGGCCGACCTATTCTGAAGGCCTTCCATCACCGTCACCATCAAGGTGACCAGAGAACTCACCCGTCGTCTTTTGCTCAAAACCAGAAGTGCGCTCGTTGTGGATCTCGAAAGCATGAAGATTTGGTTTGCTGGAAACGACTCACGTTTGACCGCTTTGGGAAGAAGGATCACCCACGGATCGTTGACTGTTTGTGAGCGAGGGGTGTGGAGAGGCCTACAGAACGAAAGTTCCAGATAGGAGACTTACATAACCTAATCTGTCAATGGTACAGCCCGATCAAGCACGGTGATTGTTTGCCGGAGAAGGCGGCGAAGATGATAAATTAGAACGCTCGCTAGGTCTGAATCTGATACGAGTCTAGAGTTCTGATTGTCATGTCTTTGCATATGTGGAGAATAGTTTGGAAAAAGATTTCGGTACCACAGGGAAAACGTTTCAAGGAAGACGCCGCAGCTTAAAAGATTGGGAATGCGTCTAAGATTGGAAGCTACTTAGTGGATCACGTTTCTTGTCTCAATAACCCTAGTATCTTTGCTCAAAGAAATAAAACATTAGAATTGGACCTAAAAACGGGTAAGTTCAGGGGCTATTGAAAAATTTAAGCTTCTTCGAAGTGATTTAAGCAGGCCAAGGCCTTAGTTGAAAGTCAGTAACGATCGCGCAAACTTGCTGTTTGATACTGGTGCTGAGATTTTAATTTTGGATATCGCCTTTTCTCGTGTGGAGGCTGCCAGTTAGACGAGAGTAAGAGATAAGAAAGTGTCGGTATTGGGGAACTAAAGTATACCACAGAAGGGCGCACTCGTGTCAAGATCACCCTAAACGGAAACTTATTGTGTATCCTTTAGGTATGGGTCAAGCTGATGAAAGGACAAGAATCAATTCTGGGTATGAACTTTTAGGCCCCGCTGGTATCCGTTTAGACACAGGGAGTGGAGCGCTCCATCTCCCAGACGAAGTTCGTATACAACGTCCGGCCGAAGAACGCTTTACAATGGCAGAGTGACCGACGTGAAGCTGGGCGAATTCACACAGCTTACGTTTAGCGTGTACGTGAAACACCCCTGAAAAGATCGACATCGGAGCAGAGTGTGCTATGGGCTACGAGAGGAGAAGGTGGGTCACTACAGTAATCTGAGCGGTAGGCCAACGTCAATTCCAGAGAGTGACCAATATTAGCCCACATTTTTTCTAGTCTACATGACGAATCCAAGAGGCATGTTGTTGGCGAAGGATCAAATACCGAGGACACCAGGATTCGTCACTGTGGGCTCTCGAACATACGCTAAGTGGTGTAATTTGGCATACGAAGCTACCACCGAACAGGACGACCATCAGTTGGACTTGATGGAGAAAGACGAGGTCCCATAAATGGAAAAACCTTGGTATGAGACCCCTTTGCATATTCTGCAGCTACCGAAAAGAAGTACTCAGGTGATGAACGTTGCTCCCCAACAGCTGTCAGTGAAGGAAGTACCAACTGGCGAAAAAACGAGCTCCGTCACCTAGCCTTAAGGAGCTGATAACTCTCAGCCGATGGAATCCACAATCACTTAGTCTATAAAGGCAGGTGCCCAAAAAGGATGAAGAAAACACGAGGACCAGGCAGAAGCCGGTGACCAAGTGTGCACTTTTATGAGCGGAGAACTCAGTTCCAAAGAAATCAGTACAGAATGGGCAGTAATACCTGAAGTAGACCCCTCGCCCGAAGGCATCGGGTTGAAGGACACACATGGCCCTAATTCGGCTGGGATCACGCCTGAAGAGGAGGATTGACTGAAGCAAATTGTACGGAAGAAGCGACATATGCTAATGGGAATAGGCAATGCCTCACCACCAGCCGCTCGTGGTGCCATGTGCGAATTCGACGTGGGAAATGCGAGAGCAAGTGCACAACGCGTACGAAAGATATTTCCTATGTACCAAAAAAAGGAGGCCGACCTAATCAAGGGTATACTCTCAGCGAAAATTATTCAACTGTCTTCTTCGCCGTGGGCCAGCCTATGAGTGATCTCTGTGAAGAAGAATGGGGTAGACATCAGGTTTTGCATCGACTACTGGTTGATTAACGACTTGACTAAACTCAAGGCCTATCCCATGCCACTGATAATCGATTTACCTGAACACTTGGATAGTGCGTTGTGGTACTGCTCTCTCGATTAGGTAAGAGGTTTTTGGGTGGTCAGCATGATGGAGAGGGCATGGTTAATTCCAGCATTTGTCACACAATTAGGATTGTTCGAATAGTTCCAGATTTCATTTGGACTCAAGAATGCATCACAGATCTACCAGCGACTTTCGGACAACGCGTTATACGGGTTCTTACGTGTAGCTCCAGGGATTAGCTTGAATGAGCCAGAAGATTCGTTTGCATCGGAGAATCCAGACAAAAAGTCAGGTCCCTCAATATTGGTTAGTCAATCGTACATAGACGACATAATTATACCCGCCGAACCTTGCGAAGCGTTGTGCGAAAAGATGGAACGCTTGTTGGACGTTTGCGACTACTAGAATTTGTCGATTGGTGCAGTCAAGCGCTCGTAAGGATGTCGAAGGGTCGACTACCTCAGCTACCAAGTATCCGGAGAAGTATTAAAAGACCTTTAAGGACCTCCAAGCACTAGTTGACCTACCTCTACTGACACCTCTCAAATCATACAGTCGTTCCTCGGAAGCCTGAATTACTACAGCAGGTTTATCGAGGATTTTGCGATACTCGCATCGATCCAACATGAGCTGAGAGAGGCGGGCCTTTACGCGTGTAGATGAATTTCAAAGAATGGTGACCACTCAGTGACCACGGGTGAAGACGAAGATATAATTTGTTGAGTTTAAGTGGGTCTTCTATGCTTCAGAACAGGATTGCTAAAGTGCTTATTTTGCGGCATTTCGGACCATCGGAAGCGGTAATTATTATCTACATGATCGAATAGGCCATCTTGGCATCGCTAGTGCATAACTATGAAGGCCTAATCATGACAGTAGCCTTCACGAGCACTCCAGGATAACGAGCTGACCTACAGAATTGTGGAGGAAGAATTTGTTGCTGCTGTGACGTACATTGTTAACTTGTTTTATGATGTTTACCACCCAGCCTTTATATTATAAACAAGACACTCGACGTTGGCCTGGTTGTTCAGGTCTTTTGAATCGCAGGAACGTTAGAAAAATCTGGCCACTCCCTTGTCCCAGTGAACATGAAATTGTGAAGTGCAAGAAAGGCGAAGACCAAGTGCTGGGGCGTTCGCAGCCAGGTATCACACCCCCCCCCTGCGAGAGTGTAGACTCGTACCTATTGGCTACCGCATCAAAGAAACAGGTGAAACAGAAGGCCGACCTTTTTACGCTCACTGTGGAAAGACACGAATATTTATGTGTACTGAGCTTTGATGGGTCGGCTCGAGTGAAACAGGGAGGTGGAGCCTGTAGCGCTATTGTATGGAGCCTGACTACGTGGTCGGTAGTAAGCACCGCCTCAAAATATTCCTAGAAGCATTGGTGAATGAGGCCGAGTATGAGGGTATGTTGCGGGGTTTCGAGATGCTAAAAACTTAGGATCGACGGCTACTAATTATCTGTGGACACCTTAATCTGGTTGTCCGACAGATGCGCGAAGGATTAGATTGCAGGGCGTCAGGTCTGTCTCCATTGCGTGCAAGAGCGCTGAGCAAGCTTCAGTTGTGAAGTTCATGCGAGATACTCCACGTAAAGCGTGATTAAGTCCAGAGTGCGGACCAGCTGGCTAGTGAAGCATTAAAAGACAAGGAGGGGTCGAGTCGGTACCGAGAGAAGAGTGGCCAGGGCTAGAAAGGATAAACCGACTGCCAGAGCTGCTGGTCCCCAAAGACTAGGATGTGGTGGCAATAGAACTTGCAAAAACCCGATTATGGCCACCCATAAGAAAATCCAGAGAAATGATGCAAGGAGAGGTGATAAAACAGCTTCGAGTGGAACGGATCCGGAAAGCGTAAAAGAGGTAGACCTGTATGGTGGATTTAAAGGCACATATGATAGGGTCTAGGTGGCCGATTGGCAGAATCGACACATTCATGATGCAAAATATCCCGACATTATAAGGTCAGTGAAGAAGGATTACTGGTGTAGTGTCCCTTCCACAAGACCGACGAGAGCGACCAAGAAATGAACGTCCGACCAGCGAATCCCGAATCTCTCCAGAATGTTGTGTTACATAAATAACCGCCAGTCCAGATGGCGGTCACCAAGAGGTCGGCCGTCCCTACACTAAGAATCACCGGTATTGCCATTGGAGAGGCTTCGTATGAAGTGTGCAGTGGTATGTAGGCTTATGTGTATATTGGGAACGGAATAAAAGGGGGCTATCCTTAACGGGATAACCCCAGGCAACGTCGAAGCGACCTAATCTTTTAGGTCGTAGCAATCGACCACATCACCTCATTTACCAAGTCACCTGAGAGAAACACTGAACTCTTGATTCTGATGACTTGTTTACGGGGTTCGTTTTAGCTAAGGCAAGTGCTTCGCGAACTACTCAAACGGTAGCCGAAGGGTTTGAAAATGTGTATTTCGGCGTTTTGGGGCCAGCGAGGTGATCCGGCATGAACGATAACTAGGTTTCATGTAGGAATTTATTTCGAGCGTTTAATTGCATGGGGGGGCCAGCGTTACCGGCCCCAGGCGAACAAAAACGCGGAAAAGAATGGTCCAAACCCTGACAAAGTCTAGAAAGATGTATTCTTTAAATATGTTTAGTAAGAATGGGACGAATACGTAGAACAGCTGACTTTGGCACTAAACACTGCACTTGATCGGGTGCGAAAAGGGACACAGTTCGTTTGGATTTACGGGTTGGACCCAATAATCACCCTGTAGGCAACGTTGCCAATTGTAAACATCAGATGAAAAGGGTCGAGATCTAGAAAATGGAGATACCACTTTAAAAGTGGAGATACCACTTTTAAAGTCAGAACTAGCGTGCGAGAGAACAGGTGAACCAGCATTTGCGGTCGGCCTGTCAAGCCCGGATGCTAACTAAGATTGCAAAAGTGATCGGTCACAAGGTTCGGCCAGGTGTTCAAGTGTGGATCTACCTGGACCGTGTGAAGAAGGGTTTGGATAAAAAATTACCTCACCTCTGGCATGGTCCGTTTCGAGTTCTGGAGTTAGTCGGTGAATATGCGGCGCGGTTGGGAGTAAGGGATACGAAGTGCATATTATTCCCGATTGCTAACAATTCTACACTGAAAAGGGTCAGGGGTTTCCCTGATCGCCCAGGTGACCGGCTGATAGTGGACGAGGCCGACCGGATCGACTTTGATAATTGTTTTTTGCCGGAGGATAGCTGGACGCGTGAATTTGAGGAAGGAATATATGAACTAATAGAGATTTTGGAAAGCTGTGTAAGCACGAAGATGTTTACGGCTAGTAACGGCTCAAGGTCTTCATCCGTTAAAGCGGTCAGAGGACCCTCATGAATCGACGAAGTGGATTAGAAATGTGGAGCTAAATTACAAGAGTTTGAACGCAAAATGACAAGCACAACCGTTTTAGGTGCTTTAGAGTCACGAAGGCTAGTCGCAAGAAAGGAGATCGGTCACCCGCTAGTCGGCCTGGTCGTCTGTGGATCGACCATGATCTCTGTGAGCTTCATTAGTTTTAAGGTCAACCAAAAGTATGTGGAAGTCAGCCATGACTCAACTGGAATGTCCAGTGTAGCCTAAGGCAAATTGTGGCTTATCCGGAGTCGGCCATTACTTTTTATGGGTGACCAAGGCAAAGCAACGCTGTATGACAAGGAAAAAGATATTGCTGAGTAATTGATTTGCAACGAACGGACAATGTGGATTTGAAACAGAATGGAAGCATGTTTATTCAAGCGATTACGCCTACGAAGATGGTAATAACTTGTTTGAAGGGGAGAGACCCTTTTTTCTGGGTGAGGCTCAGTGGTAAGTCGGTACTAAGAGATCCATGGCCACGTAGAGTGCGAGAAGTGAAGATCGGCCAACAGGTCGGCCGGTAATGACCCCTCCTCACACTCAAAGTACCAATAAACTATGCGGCTATGAAAGGCAAGTGTCGGAAAAAAGGATCCGGGAAGATGTAAATGCCACATCAATGAGCGGCCATTCCTGCGAAGACTCGACCGACGATCTTACGCCACGCCAAGATCGCCCTGCTCCGCCGTTTCTTCCGGGCGTTGTAGTACGAAGTAAAGAAGGGCTATCGTGGGCTTGGTCATTCAAGATCTAGAGGCAGTAAGTAGCCTCCCAGAGTGACTGAGTATATTAGGTATTAAAGGTCGTGTACGATTCAGCCAGATCAGCGAACTAGCCAACCACCTTGCAAGACAGAAGAAAGAGGAACCTTGGCGGCCAACCAAGGCTTCGTAGCCATCAGGCTCCTGACCATGGGAGAAGTGACCAGCGAAGATTTCTATTTTGCTGGAAGATCAAGATTCCCGTTTAGCGGACCGGTCCAACCCAAGAATAAATCTAATCGGTCAGTCAGGTCGCTAGGCGTCATGGTCACGAGTTACTAAACGTTTATCAGGTCGACTGTCCAAGGCGCTACTTTACTGGCAGTGAACACCCTCGCTTGAGTTAAACTCGAAATCATGGCCTCTTGCGGAAGCGAGTACTCGTCGGCTGGCGTACAAGAATTGCGAGCCGCTGGGCGGTCACCATTGTTCCGAGACGGCGGATACCTCTCAGACTCGGACGACCCGAAAAATGGCCTTGGTATGAGACGAAGGGGTCAGGGCCTCTGGCATGGGAGTCATGACCGCAGGGAATAGCGGAGACGCAGTCTTCAGCCAAAGACGGAACTAAAGAGCTCTGGCCTGGCAAACCGAATTGGCTCGCCGTCGGAGCTGAGGCTCGCGTCAGCCGATGTCGTGATGCTCGGCGACGCAGCCCCCCCAGAGCTCTTGAAGACCGTCTTTCCCGCTGTCGGAGCGTCTAGCACGCTCACCTTCGCTTGTTCTGCCGGTTAGAGTTGAGGTGGAACGCAAGGGAATTCGGTAAGGGCCGCTTTCCGGCTACGGAAGCAGGGGGTCGATCTCCTGCGGCTAAGTCTTTCGGCGTCCCTTGAACAACATTAGTGATACCCGTTAAAGGTTCGCTTGGAAAAATCGGACTGACTTAGCTGTGTTGGGAGGAGGGACATCCGACTATGGCGAAGGTTGACTTGCTACCGCCAGTGGTCGGTCAGCGCCATCTCGTGCTGCAACTTCTAGCAAAGCTGTGACATGAGGGCGCAGGAGTCGGCTAACTCACGCTCCAAGCGCTCACAGAGGAGCTACAAAAATGTGGTGACTGAGACGTCGAGATCAGTCGACCATCACAGGCCTTGACCCGGCGAGACAACGCTACCACATCAACAGGAGTTACGCTCATAGTTGGACGGTCGCCGACGAGGTCCATCAGTGTATCCGAATCGACATCGACGAAAATTGGATTAACAAAAGTCAATACTGAGTGCAACATGACACCAGAAGTGACTGGAGCCGACTCGACCGGTAGCGAAGTCGATCACATGGTCCTGCCTGCCCACCAGCGTTCAACAGAAATGACGAATCTGGAGGACCGGGGGCGACAGGCGATGCGACAATTGGGTCCACAAATGCAGAGACCTCTGCCGAGGGTAGAGGTGCTGGCGAAGCAGGTGTTGGGGCCGGATTCTCGGGCGTTGAGTCGGATATAGGTGAAGACATTGCAACGAACACACAGGTTCGAAGATGACAAAAAGTTGGCCACAAGAAAGGGTAAAGCTTACGGGACTGGCGTGGTGAAGACATGCTGGTTCTTTAATTGCTGTCCAGTCGATTAAGTGCAAGAGGCGGCTGCGGTAAGGCAAATATTCGGAAACGATGGACTTAAAGGTCGATGAGACGGACGTATATGGGACCTTGCGACCGAGAAAGGGATCGGAGACTTGGGGTCACAGGTAAGGAGCAGCCGTCGGGTCCAACTGTGACGAGCGAATAAGGTTACTGCTAACGGGGTCAAACATACCGACGGTACCAATTGAACAGTACCGATATAGATCATTCTCGAGGACCCTTCAATCGGCCTGGTTGCCCAAGGTGGGCCTTGGTCACCCTAAGGCCGACATGGTCACCCATAGGTCGACTTGGACCTTCAGGGTCTGGTGGATCCTGGAAACTCGTCATATAAAACCCAGGTGCAAGGCGAAGATAGATTATAGGAGCTTCAAAGATAGGCCGATAATAAAGACTACTCAATTTGCAATCCAAGCAGCACGACGTGTGTGAAAAAATACACACGACGCGTGCGAAAATAAACTTGTAAGTCTACCGGCATGTTTCGGGACAAGGATCTGATTGGTCCACCCGTCGAATGAACAGTTGTCAGTAAGACCCAAGTGTAAGTAGAACCCCAGGAAGTATATTGGCCTGTGGGTTCGTAGAGTAGCACCCCTCCCTCCCCAACTCAAGCCCGTTATAGGAAGCGTTCTCCATACCATAAAGATGAGGGAGAAGAAACGTAAAGGCCAGGAGGTTAACACCCCTGGGACAAGTAAAGGCCAGGCGCTACCAGCACCTGAGCCAACTGGTTATAAGACCACCATAAACCAAGTCGATCGAGTGGATGCATAAATTAGACCCCGACTGAAGCATATCCGCTCGGCCCGCCCTCAGGTCAACCTCCATCAAGAACAACGTCTACAATGATCACCAAGTCCTCCGAAGAGTGAAACCCGTCAGCCGACGGGTACACGAGGTAAGTCAAGGTCCACAAGCGGCATCGGGGTACCCCTCTGAAATTTGGCAGTCCGGCAGAGTAAGTGATTTGGGGTCTCGTCAAACAGTTTCTACAACCCACTCCACCACAATGGCGCGCATCCCAAAAAAGTCTCCGTACTTCCATGATGTCCTTAATAGACGATTTACCCATAGACAGAAATAATTCCGGTACCAGCGCCGCAAAAGACTCTGTTGTCAGCGAGTCGCCAACGTTAGCGCCAGCGACCGTCATATCACATATCGAAGCTTTAAATACAGGCACAAATTCGTCGTGTACCGCGTGAAACCAGCTTCTTCCAATGTTACCGTGTAGCAAACGACCCTATATATGGCCGGACAGCTTTAGCCCTTTTAGAGACTTTACAAGTCGAAGAGCCAACGCTTTCTCATTATCCACGCCGTGGCCCTTCGTAAATTTGTCAGATAATTTCATTAATTGTGGAACACGAAGGTAAACATTCATGTCCTTGGCCGCTTTTACGTTATTGTTTGTAATGTCCTCGTGATTGGCTGGCACAACTTGACGTCGCGCAAAAACGAGGATGACATTGACAGTGCTTAACACCATGACTGCCGCAAAACTAATCTCGAAATAATGCCGAAAAATTGTTCAATACCGCAGACTACGAGTCTGGCCTTGAATTGTTGATTAGCGCCGTCAGCGTCTGTCTTGGTTCTAAACACCTATTAAGTGTGCAAAACATGGCTTTACTTGGGTGGCACTACCACTACCAATACTCCATTTTTGTCCAGGGCATCGCGCTCGCCCTTCGTAGCAATTGGCCACTTTTCCTTTTGACGGATGCGATTGGCTGGTCCGTATTTTTCGGGTTAGCGTCCCCGAAACTATTCATCACGGAGCAGGCTTGTTGATCAAGTCCAGTATAACTAAATTTGCCCTTCGCCTGCTTCTGTGCCTTTTGCGTTGCTGCACAGTACCGTAAGCATCGCGCGCCCAGTAGCTCATCCGACTTAGATTCTTGCCACATTATTTCATCCTCGTCTCATCCAATGTAGTTGTTGCAGTATCATCCATGAGAAGTGAACGTCTGAGCTGATCATTTTGTGTAGACGTGAGTGTCTCGACATCATTGACATGCTGAGTCACAATGACAACCCTTTCCTTTGGAATGTACACTCGGTACGTAACAATGTAGCCCGTTAAATAAATTGACACCAAACGGTGTCGATTAAAGTATTGTCTAGTGTGACAATATTCTACCGATATTATCCGAGATGGATAACTTTGAAGGAATATTATCCCCTTTTGGATATAATTCATTCGCTGCTCGAAGATTGGTTGATATAAGACATATCAACCATAGATTACCACCAATAGCTGCTAGACGCGCGCAATGAGTGGTGAGCAGGTTGTCGTCATACGACGGCGTAGTTTAAATAGTTAGATAAAGATTAAAGTTATTTTGATGGCTTAACTATATTAAATACAGTTCTCTTTTTACCTTTACTTGATCGCGTCGTTCAAGTAGTTAAGCTTCCTCTGCACGTACTAGTGTACGTGAAGTTTCGCGGCACCCCAAACAAAGGGTGCCCCGTTACACCTGGCAGCACTCCGTAGTCCGTCCAACTACTACTTGGTGTCCGTCCAACATGAACATGTTGGACGTAGAAGACAACAGCTTTCATGTCACGCGTTAATGCTACTCCCATCTGAGTGACTCAGAGTGGGAGGTAGTCGGCCGCGTGAGTGTGTTCATGGGCGAACCCGCCATCAGTGGTATGTTAGAATCTCTAAGCAGAGACCAGCAACATGCTGCTATCAACAAGTTCCTACAAGGGGAACTTGCTGTCGAACGACAGAAGATAGACTTGCTACAGAAGCAAGGCTCTCATTAGTCGATGGGTGGGCCGACGCACATGCGTCGACCCGAAACCTTGAAGATTGATATCTCAATGTACAAGGGAACCGATGCATATTCCCTTTTGAGATGGTTCGTCGAGTTAGACGATGCCATCAGGGCCCGTCACATCGAGGGTGACGAGATGCAAGTCACCTTTGCCCTGTCAAATTTGACGGAACGAGCAAAGACTTGGGCCTTAGGGCTCAATCGTCACGACCCAAACGTGTTTGAGTCGTTGGAGATCTTGAGGTCTCGGCTCAAAGAAACGTTTGAGCCGCCGAGAGCCGAGTTCAAAGCATTCTCTGCAATCTTGAGGCTAAAGCAAGTTAAGCGTGATTTGCACGCCTACGCACGGCACCTGCGCTACCTTGCAAGTAGCGTTACAGAGAACCCTGTTGATGAGCACACGCTCATCAACGTGTTCATCTACGGCCTTGTGGATGGGACGGTGAAGACCTACATGTTCCAAGAGGAATTCCATACGCTGGAAAGGGCGATAGCGTATGCGGAACAAGAAGACTTCAGCCTGAGACAGTCTCAGGCTAACTAGTCCAACTATCGTCCGACGAGGCGACAGGAAACAGGAGGTCCCGAACCTATGGACCTCTGTTACATCGAGGGCAAGAACCCTCGCTCTCTGAGTCACAAGCGAACGGCAAGATGCCACCGCTGTCAGAAGATTGGACCTTACGCTCATGAGTGTAGTGTCCCGAGCACTGCAACACGTCCAAAAATAGGACGTGATGACCGCCGTTGGTCAAGGAAGGGTCCGAGGCGTGGTTCCGACCATGTCCCCCAGCCGCGACAGCAAGTCGGACCGTCAAAAAAACGGACAGGGCCAGTATGGGCGGAGCTCCCTGCTGATCCAGCAACGTCAAGAGAATTTTCTGGACTCTTGAAGAAGATTGCTCCCAACACGCAGTCGGTGTGTGCTACTGACTCTAGTGATGAGGTGTCCCTCATCACTTCGAAGATCGAAGTGACAAGTAAGATGTCACTTCGCGCCCTAGTTGACTGTGGTGCGTCAAACAGTTTCATTCGACGCCAGTCGCTAGAAGGTAGTAGGCTCAACTATAATGAGCGAGAGTTCCCTCCAACGAGAATGACAGTGTGCCTGGCTACAGGTGCATCCGTAACAGTGAACAAACGTGCAGTGGGAATCCACTACACGATAGAAGGAAATCAGCACGATGATGACTGTGTCGTATCAGGTTTGGATGACAAATTTGATATCATCCTCGGTCTGTCATAGCTTAGAAAGTACCCAACATGGGTTAGCTAGCAGCATCGATCCGTGAAGATGCCTGCCGTTTGTTCATCGGATGGCCATCTGATGAACGTCTTGGAGCGTCCACAAGCGTGCGGGCGTACTACGAGTGAGTTCGATGGCCTCACTTGTGGTACGGTCTGTAGAAGGCCACTGCACTGTGGAACCAGCTTCCGGATCCTGTTTAGAGACTAAGGCTGCGCCGAAGGTTTATCACTCGAAGAGATCGAGTGGACTGGAACACGGATGCACACCAAGAAGGGTGTATCTGAGAAGAGAGAGTAGTGTTGTTCAGGATGGACAACACGTTGATGCGATATCGACAATCAGAAAATAGATCGTAGAGCAAGCTCGATCGACTGAAAGAGAGTCAATTAAAGAGAACGTGACCGCGACAGTACCCGTAACGGAAGAAAATTTGACGTTCCTGAGAGCAATAACTCCCGAGAGAGTTATAGTAAGAGTGTGGATCCCCAATTACCTGCGTACGTGTTTCCCCAGGAAAAGACCGAGACAGTTAATGTCTTAGTGAATGACGGTTCAAGTGTAGGCGCTTATACACTTGATCTGGTGACGTCCCCGAAGTCAGCTTCGGAGGTAGTCAAGTTGCTAACGCTAGAATCTAATCGATCCTTGCGAGATCTGCGTGGTGACAAGATCAAGCAGATCTGCGTACTCGTCACAGAGGACGAGTACGTCGCCGATATTCGGTCGGCACAAGTGTTTGCTGAGAACAAACGGTTTCTCAGTATTTCATCTACGGACGAGAGTGTCCTCGATGAGAAGACCCGGATTGAATGATGCACGTCTCAATCTTGGGAGTCTTTAAAGTAAAATCCTTTGTATAAGGATTTGGCGGCATTCCGAGAGGCTTTCCATGAATCCGTGCAATGCGAGCTGCCTAAGGACAAAGGCACTCGGCATGAGATCGAACTGAAACCTGGTTCTAATACTGTGTCATGAAGCAGTGGCCACTGCCTCGTGAACAGGTCACAGCGATCGACAAATTCTTAGCCGATCGCTTAGCGGCTGGTCATGTGGAGGAAATTAACATCCCCACACAGCTCTTCGAATTCTGTGTGCATAAGGCCACAGAAGGGTGGCGGATAGTGCACGCGTTCAACAAATTGAATGCTGCAACTGTACCGGCTCAAACGCCGATACCTAGAAAGGACTTCATCATAGATGGTATGGCAGAGAGTACCATCGTTTCATCCATGAATTAATGGATGGATTCTGTCAGATCCTCATGCGTGAACGGTTTTTTCCTTACACAGCAGTGAGCACCCCAAGTGGTATGCTCTGGGAGTGGCTAGTGATGCCACAGGGGCTAAGTAATGCCCCTGCAACGTTCAAGAGATGTGTTCTGAATCTGTTGCGATCGGTGCGCGACCTTTCACCGAGCTACTTATGACGATTTCTTCGTTCATAGCCGGACTGTGAATGGGAAGACAGACGTGGATATTCGTTGAGTACACGTCCGGGAGACTCTTACACTTATGCGTAAGCATAAATTGTTCGCGAATCTCAGTTCGTGTATATTTGCAGCGAACGATATACCACTTTTTGGTTGCATCGGGGGGGGGAAGATGTACAACCTGATCCGGAAAAGATCAAGGCGATTAGCGACTGGCCTGTGCTAGTCGACGTCAAGGGTTTTCGAAATTGCCTTGGCTTGGCAGCGTATTCGCACAAATACTCGCGCAACTATGCCGAGATGACTGTACACCTCTCTCGTTTACTGAAAAAGAACGAGAGGTGGTTATGGAACGCTGAATGTCAGCGCTCCTTTGATGGTATCAAGCAGAGCTTGATACAATCCTCAGTCCTAGCAATTGCCGATCAGGACAGGCCATTTCATGTGGTCTGTGATGCCAGCGATTTCGCAATCGGCTGTGCACTAATGCAGTACGATCTTGAACGCGTCGTCTGCTATCAATCGAGTCAGCTGCAAATAAGTGAACCTCAGTATCCAGCGCATGATAAGGAGCTCCTTTTCATGTAGTGCGCACTGGCGATGATACGCATCTATATCCCAGAAGACAGGCCATTCATCGTTTATACCGACCATGCGTCATTACGCACGGCCTAAACAGTCCACACCTCTCGCAACTAACGACGAGGTGGCTGTCTTTTTTGCGGAGTGCAACTCCTCCGTCGAGTATAAACCAGGACGGCTTAATGTCGTCGCTGATGCTCTTTCGCGTCGGCCCGATTTCGAGCCGACTGCTCAACAGAACAGTAGGGATGATCCCATTGTCGCGACACTAACAGTGAGTATTCCGTCGTCGAATCTGCTCGATGACGTGCGAAAAGCCAACACAGAAGATGAGTCTCTTCTGCTATTGAAAAAGTAAGTCTTTCATAAATGCAGTCAAGCTTTGAAAAGCTTGTCGTCTCAATACTGCTCTCTAACCGAACGGTATTCTGTTCGTGATGGACTGCTGTACTCTACAGCAGGTAACGGAGACACACCTCGTGTCGTCGTTCTGGCACAAGATGATTTGCAATTGCGCGTCGTGTATGAGTGTCACGGTGCCCCAACAAGTGGGCATCGCGGTAGAGAAAAGATTCCCTCTTGGTGAGTCGTGAATTTTTTTTCTACTGGCCCCGCCAGTATGAGTCTGTGCGCAAGTACATTCGCGCTTGCGTAGTTTGTCAACAGGTGAAGCCTAGTCCTTCATCCCGCGCACCCTTGCAGCCTCTTCCGATTCCAACAGAGTGTTGGCAGTCCTTATCGATGGACTTCGTCTTTGGGTTTCCCAAACACGCTCACAAGAATACTGGTATTCTTGTGTTTGTTGATCGGTTCAGCAAGGTGGTACATCTTGTTGCTGTACCAGATTCAATCACAGCCCAGGGATGTGCGCGTGTCTTCATTAAAACTATCTTCCGACCTCACGGGTTACCCTGTGAACTCGTGTCCGATAGGGTGGAGTTCTGACAATTCGTGTTCCGTTCACTTGGAACGCGTTTAACGATGTCACCTTCTGACTATTCCGACACAGATGGTCGATGAAACGCGTCAACCGCGTCCTCGAAGAGATACTTCGAGGGTATGTCCACTCGTTTACGAGTTGGAGTGGGTTCTTGCCAATGGCGAAATTCGCCATCAACAACTCGGTGCATGCGTCGACAACGCATACACCGTTCTTCGTGAGTGGCCTACGCCATCCACGTTTACCCGCCTTCTTAGAGTGTGACTCTTGTTTAAGGGGGGGGTGGACTCGCTCGAACAAAATCCGATTTGGTTCTTGCTCATCGCACGTCGGCAATAGTGTCGACGTAATGGATGCCGATGTCAATTACATCGACATTGATGACGATGATGACGATGATGCTGATATATTCAGTATCGCTAACGACTGCCGACAGTGAGGACGATGACACCCACACTGTTGAAGACAACGTTCTTTCAGCAGTGCACACGAAGCGCACTGTTGTTAACAAGGATGAATAAGCATAGGAATTTCTGCTGTTTCGCGAAGCGGTTGTTCGCTTCGCTCAAAACTCTATTGCAGGTGCACTAGACAGACAGAAAAAAAACGCAGACAAACATGGAAGAGCAAATGTTCTTTCATTTGATGAAGGAGACTTAGTTTTACTGTCTACAGTAAACTTACCGAAACACGCAGTGACAAACGTTGGCAGCAGTAAATTACTGCTCAAGCGCATCGGTCCATTTCGTGTGTTGCTCCGCATGGGCAACACATACACGATTGAACTGCCTCTTAGGATGCGAACGCATCCTACGTTTTACGCCTAACGTCTCACGCCTGTACTATCGGTACGAGCCCGTTTCGAAAGGCGAAGAACACCTCCACGGTCAAGAGCCGAGACCACCTTCGAGTGGTCCCGTTTCAACGATCCAGTCTAATCGACTAGCGAAGCGACCTGCCCATGCAGTTGAGCGATATCCCGACGAGCTCGAGTTAGCTCATCACGAAGAAAACGGGTCGAAGGTTCGTTCTCAAGTTGCGCGAACGCAAAAGCGGCACGATCGTTCGAACGATCGTGCGTTAGGAAATTGTAGATGTTTCTTACAAGATCCTCAAGCTCAAACGCCGAGGCCGTTCGTGAGCCAGATCATCTTGCGATGGTTCCGTTACACTGTTCAGCTCTTGAACATCAAGCTGATACGACCCTTGATCCGGATCAGATGTTCCCGCTGCCACCACATCCTTTGGTGGACATAAGCGGTGGTCAACGCTACCTTGCGGAGCGCATTTTGAACCAACGCGACGTGAATGGCGTCCGGACGAGTTACCTCCTCCGCTGGCGTG